ACTTAAGCAACATTGGAAGAGACCAGAAGAGAGAAAAAACGGATAATAACTAATAAAAAGGAAAGAACTACATAAAACATGAAGAACTACGCGTGGAATGTGATTACCATATTTCACTCATGAAATGCAAATGCAAATACAAATAAACTGTCAGAATTAACTTTACCATTTTCAACATATTGAGACTGGAGCAATATGTAACTTATTTATAATGTTACACCTACAAGAAAATTTCCAATTAACAATAAAATTGCTTTGAGTTCCTAAATACTAAAAAATGTACAGAAAAAGGAAAACAAGGGGGTTTAGTTTTACAGAAGGACTGTTAAGGTAAAATTTGTAACGAACTATTCCAACCATCAAGATTGATGCAGATTGATTGACAAAACAATTAATCCGAATTCAATATCTGCTTAGTTTCACAATGATGAATCTAGGTCTTGTGAAGAATTAGAGGTTTTAGTAGTGATCAGAAACAATCCTCAGCGCATATGCCACAGTAATCTACTTATCACCACCGCCAAACATTCCCATCATATCTTTACTAGATCCCATTTGCTTCATCAAGCTTTGTAACCCACCCATGCCTCCGATTTGCTTTAGCATCTGTGGAGGGAGGACTTTGCTCATGTGCTGGGCATTCATGTTTCGGGATAAGGCGCTCATTTCACCCTTCTTAGGTATTTTAAGCCCTTTCATTTTGCTCCATATCTTTGCAAGACGTTTGTACTCTTCCAACATTTCCATTACTTCCCTAACTGGACGACCAGAACCTCGCGCTATTCGCATTACGCGGGACTCATTCATGAGCTTTGGGTTTGTGCTATCCAATTCTGTAAACATTTAACCATTAAAGGTTAGCTTGTAAAGGTACACTATTTCAAAAACAATGGATTTAGAATATAAAAATGTGATCCTTTTAAAAAAAGTCCAGTACATGCCTTCGTTTGTCATTGAGTCCATCATTGTCATGTAACGCTTAATTTTTGCCTGGCTTTCCTTCTCACGGCCTTTTGGCATTAATTCAGCACTAAATCCTGGTAGCATAGAAAAGACCTGCATAAACCAACCAAGCATTTGTCAAGCGCAGCCTCTCATCACACAGTAATCAACCAGCCATTAGTACGTCTTTAGAGCATCAAATACATTTTTTTTGGGTACAATAAATTCAATCAAACAATAAAAAGGAGGTAACCTGGCCGATGGGACCCATTTTAAGTATGTTCTGAAACTGCTCATACATAATTCTCAAGGTGAAGTTTCCTTCCGACAACTTTTGAAGCAGTTCAGGCTGTTGATCCATAGGAACAACTTCATGAATTTTGTCCATGAACCCAGACCAATCTCCCATGCCTAGATCAAAAGTTATTGAACAAGACAAAGGAGTAATATTTAAACAAACTGACTTAGTACTATACTTAAAAGGGTGTGGCATAATCCAATATTCATGTAAAGAAAAAGCCAGAAAGAACACACCTAATAGACGACTGACAAATGGTTTAACATCAAAAACTTCAAATTCATCCATGTGTTCTCCGGTTCCGATGAATATGACAGGACTCTTTGTTGCTGCTACACTGAACATACAAGAATTAATTAGGTTTGCAAATCATAAAAATATAATTCAAACCACCACAAACATACACAAGCAACACATCATATTTACACTAGTTGGTATTAAATCATTCATATAAATACAATATAATTATTCCATCAATACTTACGCACTAAGAGCACCACCACCCTTTGCATGGCCATCCATTTTAGTCACAATGACAGCTCCCACTGCAACACTCTGTTTGAATGCTTGAGCCTGATCAAAAGCAGCCTGACCAATGCTGCTATCCATAACGAATATAACAAGATCTGGTTTCTGAATAATGCAATGAAAGATATTAGAGATTTTTTACTATTGAAAACAGGAATTAACAGAGTATCTAAAGAAAATACCGTTGCTTCTGAAACTTGACGCATTTCTTCAAAAAGAGCAGCTTCTTGTTTGTGCCGCCCACTAGTGTCAACAATTATTAGATCACAGTTTTCTTTCTTGAATCTTTCAACCCCTTCCACAGCAATTTTCACAGGATCTGACTCCATATAGCTGCAGAAGAATGGACCATAGAAACCACAAAACTACTTGAGCACGAAGACCATAGACAATAAAATGCAATTAACATAGAAGCGCGCAGCTCTCGTGCATGATAGAATATTGACTCCCCCCTCCCCTCCACCAAATGAGAAAAGTAAAACAAAAGAAATCATATTATGTATCCATATAGATCCTTGGCAGAAAGAAAAGATAAGAATTATTTTAATAGTTGGTTTCATGCATTTTTAATGTTTGTAATGTTATATCTTCCAATGGAACAATAATATAGCATGTTTGAAAAATATTGCAAATTTGTAAAGAGTCTTCTTTAGAAGAAATAAGATAAGAAAATGAAAAAGACTACGTGAATTTGTGAGCGTGGGAATCTGAGCAACAAAATCTGATAATGTGATTAAAAATCCAAGAGTGTGCAAGCCATAACATCTGAAAAAGAGAATGACAACAGCCCAATCTAGGCCCCAGCTTAGGCAATAGTCGGCCATTATCATCCCTAATCTCGCTTTGTTCCTCACTTAATAGGTACTTGCAACCGAAAAATATCCCATAACAAGTTTTTCATGTCATTATTCATTAGAAGACCCAATTCTTGAAAATAAAAAGTAATTCTTACCCAACTTAAAAGCTAAAAATGCAAACTGCAAACCAATTCTATAGCAATTACCACCGCTCCTATAAGCCATTGTGCCTTAGAAAAAAAAAACACTTCTCTAGAAATACTATTCAACTAATAGTTCCGAAACACAAAAAAAATAAAAAAATTAACCATCCAAGGCATGATCTATATGGAAAAATAACTGTCAATGTACTTCATCAACATATACAACTACAAGTCCACAACCTTAACATTACTATCAACATTCAATATGTATACGTGCAGCAGGTTCAACAACAGAACAATAAGTCAACTACAGTTAAACCCAACCATCTCTGCATTTCTCACGAGACGAATCCAATAACCACAACCAACGCGTACCTTCCATAGAAAGGGATCTTAGCCTTAGTGGCGTTTTGCTTCAGTTGATCAAAAGCACCAGCTCGGAACGTATCCGCACACACCAGAGCGGGCTTCCAACCTTTCTTTTGATGATAATACGCGTATTTCGTACACGTCGTTGTTTTACCAGATCCTGAAACACGCTAACATCCACAATCATTCCAATTGTGCAAACGCGAAGCATAACGCGATTCGAATGAAAGAAACCAACCTTGCAAACCGACGAACATGACAACACTGGGTTTGGCCTTTTTGGGAGTGAACGAGGGTTTCCCGGGATCGAGAATTTTGCAGAGCTCATTGAATACGGCCTGCTGGATAATCCGGCGCTTGTTGTGGCCAGCGGCGAGGTCTTCGAGGTTGACGATGCTCTTGATGTTGGTCTGCATCTCGCGGACGAGCTTGAATTGCACATCAGATTGTAGGAGCGCGCGCGTGATGTCGTTGAGGCAATCGTTGAGGACTTTCTCGTCGATGATGGTCGCATTGCTCATCTGCTGAAGAGCACGCGAAATACTCCCACCTAACTCCGCGAGAACCATCTTCGCTCACCGTCAGATTCTTCCTCCGATCACCGATCTGGTTTTGTCGAATTAGGGTTTTCTTGAACCACGTTCGTTCGCCGCCGGTGAATGAAAAGGGCAAATCCGAATATTCACTGTGTATGCTCGCTGTTTCACGGGTACACGCCCACCCTAGCTAGATTTTGATATTTCTAATTCCAGTTGAATTTTAAAATAAAAATCTACTCTTTGTCATAAATTATAAATTAACAAAAATTGGTTATACTACTTAATTTATCCCTTCACTACTTTTTTAAATAAAAAAGTTTGCAAATTTGAAAAAAACAGGTCCATTTTTTAAAAACAACTAAGGTTTTTTACTCCATATTTAAGATTTTAAAATCAGTTAATTTTTTGAGACCTACGTTTTATAAAATTTAGAATTTTAATCAATAACTCTACGCTTAATCATCCGTTTAAAATAAATAGTGAAGAAAACACGAGTAATTTAATCACTAAAAATTTAGAATACACAGTTTCTCTTTTATATTTATATGTTTTCTCGAATATTTTCAATAAAAATTATCTAAAATATTTATTATGAATGAAAACATTACTTTAATATAAATATCATCTATTATATTAAAATAATTTTTTTATTTATAATTTTTTTTAAACAATTATTTTGACTTACATTTCATATCTTACTTAGTGTGCTATGTATTCAATTATAATAACTATATGATATGCTGAAGTTTATTTATTTTTGCTCTTCCATTTTTTATCTTTTTTTCTGTGCTAAAAGAAAATTAAACTGTCTTACATGCAAATATTCTTCATTCATTCATGCTCATAAAGTTTGTCTCTATAGATTTTTATTTTCCTCGTTTATATTCTGATCTAAACTTTTTCATATGTTTTTATTATTCATCATGATAACACAAATATATATTTAACTTTAAATTTAATAATACAAATATAAGCATATTTTTCTTTAATCACTTCAGATATTACTATTTTACTGTTTAACTAACACCCAGGTACCTATCACGTTCCAACTCATTTGGTTTTCAAATTTTCTGTTTCGCATTCACATCTCACCTTCCCCTTTCTAAACCTAATTTCCTTACCTCGATCTCGCACGCTGCCGCAGGTCGCCGGCCGCCGGTAGCCAATTTCCGTGAGTTCTTCTTTTTCCGTTTATCAATTCCTCTATTTGCTTTGCTTCTCTGTGTCTCACGAACTTCTCACCCACTTACACTCTCGAATTTAATTTCGCAACTGAGCAACGGAGAGAGAGTAAGCATTTCTGCCTTCCTCGCCCTAATTTTTGCGTTGTATCGTATAGCGGTGCTGCAGATAGTGAAATTGAGAAATTTAGAAGGTTTTAGTTATGGCAACGGCGACGTATCCTCCGCCGCCACCTTTTTACAGGCTTTACAAAGATTACTTGCAAGATCCTAAGTCTGCTCCCGAGCCTCCGCCGCCTATTGAAGGGACTTACGTTTGTTTCGGAAGCAATTACACGGTAGCGATTTTTCCTGTGTGTTTTTACGAGATATTGTTCAAACGAGCTTCTGCTGTTGCAATTGCAGTGACGTTGGTATAATATGCACTTTCTTAGTGAAATTTTAAGTATACATCTAGATTTTAAAAATTTAGTCAGAAATTATTTCTCTATGAAAGCTTTTGCAGATGCTTGTATTCGCTAGATTCGATTTTTGGTTGGTACATTGAATTCTTAGAGCATGATTGGGATAGTTTAAAACTATTGATTTCAGCTATTTGGGAACATTTGCTGAAATTTTCAAAAAAGCTTTTTGTAAAAGGAACAAAATAATAACCTAATTTTATGCATTTGGACATTTTGTATTTTATGATGATTTTTCAGTCATTGTAACATGTTAGCTTTTAATTATCCTCAAATATTCTGACAACTTTTTTTCTCTTTCTGCTTCGTACGAATCCTTTATTTGTGATTTACAGTGTAAAAGCTGTTTTGTTTTATGTATCCAAACAAAATTAGTTACTTAAAAATCATTTTTCAACAAAGTTATCCAAATAAAAACTTATTATTATACTCAGTTATAACAATTGATTATACATACAATCCATTGTTGAAATAATTTAAAGTTCGCAATTATTTCATACACGTAGGACTGTGATTGGATGACATACTAATTTGTCATAAGTTGTTTCATGTTAGTAAGTCCTTATTTTTTATTCGTCTTCGATTGTTTTAATGATTTAAGGACCATCTTTCTTAAGTGGGCACTTTAAATGGGGTTTTCTTCTTGTAGGTCTGATATGCAATTTTCTCGAAGTCTTTATTTATCTAGTTGTACTTCTATATAGATAGTATGTCATGATAACTTAATAAAATTTTAATTCTTTGTTTCTTTTCTCATAGACTAGTGATGTTCTACCAACCTTGGAAGAACAAGGGGTGCGCCAGCTCTATTCTAAAGGGCCTAATGTTGGTAGGCCATTTTGCTCTATTCATGCGCAATTTTATTTGATAATGTTTTGAAATTACCACAAGTTGCTGCAAATAGTTTCGGTTTTCTATTATGATGCTTTTCTACTTCAATATTATCCGGTTGGAAATTATCATTCCAAAACGTATAATAAATGATATGGCTTCTGTTACTTGCTCCATGAGAGCTGGTAGTATCATTATGAACGATGCTTCTGCCAGTCCTTGATTCTGTGTAGATAACTCACTTGTAGATTGTTTGTCTAGGCATTGGTGACATAGTCATCATTTTTTGGAAAGTTCAATATGAGAAAGAGGAATCACTAAGGCACAAACCTAGAGTAGATACAACTTTACATGCATTGGCTTTTCAAATTGGGTATCGATTCCCTTACTCAATAGGCTGGTGTATTACATCTTGAGCAACTGTGGTGAAATTGTTTGTTGTAACTTGCATAAATTTTTCTTGTTCTAGCATGATGACATCCAAGTCCATAAAGTGAGTAATTTCAAAAGGGTCAAGTGTCCATAATATATTTTCTCTTTCATTATAAGTTGCTTTAGCATGATCATTACAAGATTTTTGTAAATCTTTTACCTTCAATCCTTTAGTAAAAGATTCCATTCTTTTATAGATTTCAAGAAGGAGTTGAGGTCACTTAATGGAGAGTTGCAACTACATGTCTTGGAGCTTGCTGATATTCTTATCGAGAGACCTTCACAGTATGCAAGGAGAGTTGAAGAAATTTCTACAGTATTCAAAAATTTACATCACCTTTTAAATTCATTGCGTCCTCATCAGGTATATGTTCTTCTATACGACTAACTATAGGAAATATGGTCTTTGACTGGCATGCTGCTGTTCCCTTTCCTTTGACTGGGATTTTAATTATATTTTGTATTTACATTGTAGGCGAGAGCAACATTGATTCACATTTTGGAACTTCAGATACAACGCCGGAAACAGGCAGTGGAGGACATAAAGAGGTATATATATTATTGTTTCTTAATTCCACATAAAAGCAAAAGAATCTTTTGCTCTGGTACCAGCAGCACTGTGAAATTCTGCTCTATCAATTTGAGAGCCTTTAATAATTTAGTTGGTTTCTAGGATTGGTGGTAATTTCTTCCATTTATCCACTAAGAATCCAAATTGTCTATCCATAAGTTGAATTCATCTGTCCAATCTTAGGAATGGATTGGTTTAACAGTTATTTTGGATAGTCAGTAAATCATCAGCGACATATTTTAGACCAATGGATCTAGATATTGGATCAATGTTGGGCATACAGATCCATTACAGGTTATAATGAAAACAATCTTCAGAAGGAGAGAACAGATCCTTCTTTTAGTAAGGCCTCATTTGGGATAGTTTTTAGTTGTGACTATCGAAAATTTAAACACTGCAACCACTTTTTAGTTTTTTTTAAAAATAGTTTAGATTAGGGTATTTTTAGTTTTCAAAATTAGTTTAAAATTTTCCTCATGTTAAAATTAATTTATATAATGGTAACAATGCTGACAACAATGACAATGTTAGTAGTGGTAGTAGTAACAATATCGATGGTGGTTGTAGCAGTGGTGATAGTGGGGTGAAAAATGAGAATGCTCATTACCAAATATAATAAGAGTTTTTTTTTTAAGACTAAAAACTGATTAGGCCCAAAGAGTTAGTGGGCCTTGTGAACCATTAGTCCAAGAAGGGAGCAAGCAACAATGGGGAAGAATATATGTGAGAAAGAAGAATCATATGGTTGAGCTGGCATGATTAGTGGGGAAGGGCAATAAGAGGAGAGTGAGTAGTATTTTCTGTTAAGGTGAATCAGTTATACAGGGAAGGAGGGGGATGTTTAGTGGGGGGAATTGGCTTTGGGAGAGAATAGAGAACCTATCGGGTTGCTCTAGAGGGAGCCTAGCTTTGGACAATAGGATGTGTTATCCTTCTGTATTTATTTTATGTCGCAAATATCACAAAATATCAGTCTTTCTTCTATTTTATGTTTTGTCCTTAATTGTGAAGTGTGGGTCTATATATAGAACCAAATTTTCAAATCCTTTTCTTTGTTTTGAACATGAATGTAAAAAGTTTTCAAAGTTAAATAAAAACTTAAGCTCCATTTTTGACGAATACCTTTTGTTATGGAAACTACATTTGAAGTTTTACATTAGAAGTAATTAAAATATTATAAATTCAGAATTTGATGCTTCACTTTTTATTTTAATCATGGAAAGCTGACCTATAAATAATTGAGTTCTTTGATAACAGACACTATTAGGACTTAGTACAAGAGGAAAGTCCAACCTAAAAAGACTAGTTCATTAGGTGGGAGAGTCTTAAGGCAAGTACCACATCATCATACTCAATGTGGATTTCTAATATTGTCATCCCCTTTAAGAGTTGACTATATCACAAAGGTTTTCACTTTACCGACACTGTTCCAGTGTATAGATAGTTCTTGCCATCGCCCAACCCTCAATACAAGCATCAATTTTTACGAACTTCTCTAGAAAGACTTTTAAGAGAGAAACATGTGAAGGAAAAAAATTAGTTTATGCATTAATTAAAAATAAAAATTTGAAGAAACTATATAAGAGATTTTTTACAAATTGGTTTATGCATATAGTCAAATTTTTTATATTTTTTTCTCCTTGAAGATTGTCCAAACAAACCTTTAAGAACAAGAGGAGACGAGGAGAGTTCATCTAAAGATCACGAGTATAGTAAGTAATAACGGACGGAGGAGAATTATCAATTTCATTTTATCCTTGACCTCAAATCAAGGAATTACTGTATTCATGTAATTGTTTTAGTCCCTTTTTTACAAATGAAGAGACAGTATAGTCATTTTTTGCGGCAATTTAGTTCTTTTAAGGGACTAAATTAATCAATATTTTCATTTTTCTGGAATAAAATGGTGATTTGTAATTTATGTGTCAAATTGGTCGAATCCAAATCTTTTAGGGACCGAAATTTTTGACTTGTTTTTGCCATTAATCTTTTTCTAAGGTAATCTCTATTTGCAGGAGTAGAGAAGAAGCACGACGGCTCCTTAACGAGTCCTTGGCAACACTTGATGGCCATTAGAGCATTCTCGCTCGTGTATTCACAGCAAGATTCTACCGATGAACTTGATTTAAAAATAGGCTTTGACATCTAGATTTTAACAAATGATGAAAAGATTAAAACAAGAAATTTGCTGAAAGCTATTTTGTAGCTGTGTAATGATATTAGAAAATAGAAGAATTGTAATTAAGAGGGTATTGCTACAGCACTAAAAATATTTAGACAATGTAGGATAGTGTTGGGACGAATTTGCTTCTATTGAATTTGAAATGCAGTTCTTAAAGTTGCAAATTTGTTTTCATGACATTAGTGGTTTGAGCTCAATATTATTAAGAATTATTTGTATATAAGAGATGGTTATAATGAATAAAATTTTTCACAAATACTAAAAATTAGAGACAAGATTTTAAATTGAGTTTATTATTGTAGTAAAAAGTACGTAGAACTCTTAAATGGCAAATAAGCCTAAAATTTTGTGGAAAAATGGTTTTGAAAATGCCCAAATAAGTAATTTTGTATGGAGTGGCTTGCACCCAAATTTACTTGTTAAGCAGGTAAAACCGTCATATACCAAACAACAATTCATTATATTACTATAATAGTACTGTCTATGGACTGTTTTGCTTGTCTATTAATCATCCCTTGAAAGAATGTCATACTTTTGATTTTGCTATGTGATACTAACAATTTAGTGAAAGCATTTAAAGATAGACCGCAACTGCTACACGAATTGTCAAAGCGCTAGCCTCAATTATACAAACTGCCTCCTTCAGACACTCGGTCACCCAATCAATAAATAAATCCACGGAAATAAAGATTTCAGCAATTTGAAAGCTCCATTTGCTACAGACCTGCGAGTTCAGCATTTATATGGGCAAAGACATAAAGGGCACTAACAAGAAAGTCAAAATCTCAACTTCGATTCATTAACTAAATGATAATAAGTCTCTTGCGCTATGAACCAGTTCTTAGTGCTTAAAAAATAACATTAGTAATGGGGGAAAATAACTAATGCATAACTAATACTTGTTTCTTATATGTAATCAGCCAAGATGCTTTCATTGAAAGACGGGAATTACTAAACTGCTCGTCAATTACATCACAGAATTACACCCAAGATGCAGCGTCTTCACATATCAGTTAGGAAAATTTTCAAGGATTTGTAATTATTTTCATTTTTCACATCAATACCTTGTACAAATTAAGAGTGATCGTATATAAATCCACTGGAAAAATAAGTTACATTACCTGTAAGAACAACCCAAAAGGTGTTTGTTCAGTTCTCATCACCTGCCCCTCCCTCCATATGTTGAACATATTTTCATCTTGGAGCCTATCTTTGCTTCGGTAACACTACAAAGTTTGCAGGTTTCCATATGAAAAGCGCAGTTCTCTCTCTGCTCCGAGAATTGCCTCTGAAAAATCCGAGATATCATAACTGTTGATATTCTAAAGAAACGTCACCTCTAATTTCCCATAAACCCAAAAGGTTTGGAGGCTTAGAAATTTTGAAGTCTTAATCACATCATAATAGCACGGAAATGATTTGATATAATTTTGAAATATTAAATTAAATAACAACAAGAGTTACTGGTAGTATCTATTTTACAGAACTCATAGTAAAAAAAAAAAATACCGAACTAATCACACCACTCCGTTCCCGTGTTCCAAATTCAGTTGGATCCATGCTAGAGAAACCACCCATACTCGACCCAGAAAAAGGTCTCAAATAAGTCAAATGGATTAGTCTAAAAGAACGGAGATTTTTACATACAAATTAACCTTAGAAAAGCAGCAAAAACAAGTGTAGATAGCGGGACAATAACAACTTGAAGTGGCATTCATTTTCCCCAAAAGAAGACTTTGGTGTATGGGCATTTTAACCACCAACTGTATTGACAAGTAGGATATTTCATGCTTTGCGGAGTGCATATTTCTCACTAAGACTCTCTGGGATAAATTATCAATAACTATTTACAGAAGAAAATAAGAATGGCAAAGGAAATAAGCTAAAATTCAGTTATGCATAAGCTAATTTATAAAAATTGTCGTGTGCATGACTAATATTAGGTTAAGAGAGAACTTCCATTCATTTTACCCCCTTATCTTCTTCTCTTCTTCTATAAGTGTTTATTAAAAGTTTATCCAAAAAACCTAAATTCACACATCAAACAAAAATAAAATGAAGAGCATAATATTCAATACCCGCGGTCTAGGCAGCTGATGCTCCCCCAACGGTACTCTTAACTCCAGCCTCGCCATATTTGATCATACATAGCCCTCTTATTATCATTTAATGGCACCTGACAGTGTTGTACTTCAGAATCCAAAAGCGACACATCATATCATAACTACAATTAAGAAAGAACAACAAATTCGACCACATAATTGAATTATAAGCGAGTTACTAATTTAACCCATCTTTCTTTCTTTTTTCACAAACTAGAAACTAAGAAACTACACTTGTGCAGGAGGCGTAACGTAAGCATATTTATTTTATTTATTTATGCATAAGCTAATTTATAAAAATTGTCGTGTGCATGACTAATATTAGGTTAAGAGAGAACTTCCATTCATTTTACCCCCTTATCTTCTTCTCTTCTTCTATAAGTGTTTATTAAAAGTTTATCCAAAAAACCTAAATTCACACATCAAACAAAAATAAAATGAAGAGCATAATATTCAATACCCGCGGTCTAGGCAGCTGATGCTCCCCCAACGGTACTCTTAACTCCAGCCTCGCCATATTTGATCATACATAGCCCTCTTATTATCATTTAATGGCACCTGACAGTGTTGTACTTCAGAATCCAAAAGCGACACATCATATCATAACTACAATTAAGAAAGAACAACAAATTCGACCACATAATTGAATTATAAGCGAGTTACTAATTTAACCCATCTTTCTTTCTTTTTTCACAAACTAGAAACTAAGAAACTACACTTGTGCAGGAGGCGTAACGTAAGCATATTTATTTTATTTATTTATTTATTACCTCGGAAGCAGTAGTAATCAGTTTGAACTTTCAGCCGCTCCAAGTTCCTTGTTCGCATTAGGATCATACTAAACAGAGAAAATGATCGTAACTAAGTGCATATAGCAATGAGTTGGAAATGGAGTTTGAAGAGGTGGATTGGATTGGATATCTTCCTGTCGAGCTTGTCTTCGATAAGCGGCTATAATTCCCTAGCGGAGCGGAGCCAGATTTGGAGAGTCCGAGAGCGCCGTAGAAATCAACGGACGCTGCGGTAACAGCCGTCGCAAAGCGGCAGCTGTTGTTAATGAACTTCGAGTTGGAGGAGAGAGAAGCGATGGAAACGAGTTTGTTGTGAACGAAGGTGGATCGCGATACAGAAGAAAGGAGAAAGAAGATAGAGAGGCAGAATCGCCACTGAATTGAATGTGTAAATACGAGAGGCGCCGTTTAATTGGATCAGTTACATGGTTATTCCATTCCTCCTTCTTAGTTCTGAAAGAAGACGAAGAAGCGATTCCATAGTTGGTTGAGTGGGAGAGTTGGATGCAAAAAGTTGATATGAGTTTAAAATATTTTTTATGCCAATCAATTGGTACGTGCGGGCCAGGCACAAAAAACACAAGTACCACATACCAGTGGAGGTCCGAATATCAAACATGAGAATGCCCGTCCCACAGGAAACAAAAAACAAAAAACGGAAATTAAATATACAATAAAATTATTTTTTACAATCTAATAAAATTAATAAAGCATTAAATTTAAAGTAAGAAAACTGAATAAAATTGGTAATGACATTGAATTCGTTTAAAAAAACTTATATCACTTTGTAAAAACAATGATATATTGCTAACGAAACAAGCTATATGTTTATTAATTAAAAAAAATAAGTGATTGAATTAAACAATGGTCAGGCGATAAACAAATGAAAATTAAGATTCACTGCGAAATCTTTTGAAATTAAATGAGTGCAAAATAAGTAATATCCTAAATAAATTCTTGAAAATTTAAATATTACAATTAGTTTAACAAACATTACTCCATTTTTTGTTGTCATTTGGAATAATTTTACATTTGCTAACTATATAATGTAATTTGTAGCACGGGTACTTCTGTTTCGAATCACAAACTTCAGAAAAAGTTTATTTTAAAATGGGAAAATTTATAACGAAAAGTAAATATTTTTCTTTCACTTGAAATTGTATAAAAAAATTCTCCAAATCATCCTGTAGTATAATACCATTCAACACTCAATCGTTAAAATAAGTAATGCCTTTCTGTTTTCAGTTTCTATGAAGTATATAAATTTTAATTCCAATGTTTTGGACGTATAATTTAACTTATTTTGAAAAAAAAAATTATAATCTTATAAAGAGCGTGAAAGGGATGATTATTTTTAACCAAGAAAAGATTATGTTGCCACAATGTTGGAGATTGTGGCAATGGCAGTGAATATAACTCGAAAAGATGCTGCAAACGGATAATACTGAAAATATTCTTATACTTATACTGAGTTGATAGGATACTATAAAAGCAGAAATCATGCCATCACAAACAGAAGCCATAAAGCAAATTACAGCAACGCTAACCTTTTTTTATGAAAGGAAAAAAAAAAAAAGCACGACATAATTAGTCAACCTGAAGCAGCTATTTGCTGCCTCTATTATTTCATTCTACACATTAACCCCGTTAGAAGACATCAGGTGGGAAGCGCCCAGTAAAGGAGTTGCTCTGTTGAGCCTGCTTCAAATGAATTGCCAAAGCATAGTTATTCACCTGTCACCAAATCAATGGCCACAGAAGTCATCAGTGTGCACAAATGCAATTATTAATGAGAAAAAGGTTTACGTAACAATTAAGAGAAAAAGTTTATTCAGACCTCGAGAGTTCTAATCTGCTCCTGGTATTGAGATACCAATTGCTTCAAATGCTGCAACTCTTGGTTCTTAACCTCGTAATCAGCAAATCGTTCATGCTGGATTCTAAAAGCATTTTTGAAAGAATTTTTCTCCTTAATCAATGCTTCAATTTGCTCTTTCAGCATCAAATTTTCCTGAAAATGAGAACATCAGGTCGTAATATATAAGAGCACAACCAGGAACAAACACTACAATACAACCACTACAATACGAGCACAACCAGGAACAAACACTATATAATTTATACCTAAATCATCAGGTCGTAATATATAAGAATATCCGTAAACGAGTGTATAGAGACACCACGAAGCATAAAAAAGCCATTTCAGAAAAGTTATCAGCAAAGATGCAGTCTAAGCATTTTATTTCTGGCTCCTAGTTCATTTTTGAAAAAACTACACAATATTTTTTATATGAAAACAAACTAAAGAGTGTTGATAGAAAATCAGCCACTATACACTTTCCATGTTTATTCAGAGAAGATCCATAGAGAAGATTGTCTAAGCGCAGTAAGTTTCAGCCTCTCTCCACAGTATTATCTTCACATACAATCAACAAAAACCAACCCTTTTTTTCTACTAGATTTGGCTACATGAATCAAATTAATGTCATATTGTTTTATCATAAATCATTCTATAGACAAAATGCCCTTCCTTCTTAATAGTTTTGCTTATAACATTTCTTGACCTCTCTATACCACTATTAACAACAACTACCCTATATTTGATCTTACTCTTCTTCCTAGAGCTTCTACAAGACTTCTCCACATAGACTCAAACCCACTAGGGAAAAATTCTACCATTTTTTTCTACTACAAATACATACTCCCGACTTCATTTAATCTGTCTAGTATGTCCATACATCGAACAAAGCATTTTCATTTGATACACTTGAGTTTATTTTCTTGTACTGTTGCCTCCCAGCACTTAGTTTCCAATTGTGTTTATAATCTTGTTTATCCTCATATACAAGCAAGTGAAACTAAAAAATTCAAACAGAATCATTACACAAAACAACAAAGTAAAAAATATTAGAATAAAAGAATTAGGATGAACCATCCTCAGGTTAAGTCAACAATAGAGTTCCTCCACAATAAAAGCAATCTCAAAACACTCAACACCATCTAATTGCTAATTCAGTGCAGCAATTCCTGGCCAATAGCATGCATCATACAATTGATTGGACATTCACTTAGTAACATACCTTCTGAAGTGCATCAGTTGTCTCAGCCCTTGCTCTTTCACTAATTGATTTCTCTAGAACTTCTAGCATTCTAGCAGCACGGGCTCTAGCATCGTCAACACTGGTAGCAACCATCATTTCCCTAACAAAAAAGTCAATCCATTCTGCTCCATCAGCAGGGAGGTGGTTGTTCAAAGTAGGCTGGTCCTCAGGAACAGAAGCATTTCCAGTATCCTCCAATTTACCTGCAGAGTTTTTCAAAAGCCAGTCAACTTTTCAATTAGTATTGTTACCAAAACTTATTGGTAATTTATTCACAACTGATATCACTATCTTTTGCAGCCAGTCTAGGTCAAGAACAGAAGAGCAACGCACTAGTACTGTGCCAAAATGTAATTAACTAACTGTTAAAATATCCCATCATAGATAATCTAAAAGAAGAATTTTCTCATAAAATGTTAGGTCTACTAAGCAATTGATCGCACATTTAAACCAACCATACCTGCATCCAAAGTAACAACAATCTCCGATTCTTCAGCATTTCTATTTCCATCTGCATTTCCCAAGCAAAGCTCGTTCAGCCTCTTGATGGCAGCATCTATATCATTCCCACACTCCTGAAGAACTCTCTCAAGGACCTGAAAGGTAAAATTACAACAATAAAATATATATGAGGAAGAGAATTATCCACATAAATCATACACCTTTCCAAGAACACCAACAAGATAACATCATAAATTGGACCAGCAAGCCAAAAGTTAGATCGTGGATTGCCAACCTACACTCGCAAGACCGATTATTTACTATGACCACCCACCCAATCACATTAACCATTGAGAGGCACTACGAACTCAAATATTGGGCCTTGAGGTCCAGATATGATATTCTAGACTGCCCACTGCATGTGAGTGATACAAGTTGGCACTAAGTTACATCTATGATATTCTAGACTGCACTAAGGCCCATCCAAACTAACAACAATCTCTGATTCTTCAGCATTTCCATTTCCATCTGCATTTCCCAAGCATAGACCCTTTTAAGAATACCAACCGATACATCATAAATTGGACTGCCAGCCAGAAGTTAGATCATGGATTGCCAACCTACACTCGAGAGACCCATGATTTACTATGAACACTTATCCTATCACATTAACCATTGGGAGGCACTAAGAACTCAAATAGTCAGTCAGCATTGGGCCCTAGAGGCCCAATGATATTCTAGACCACCTGCGGCACGTGATTAATGCACAAAGCTACCTCTACCTCTCCCTCGCACGTGAAAAAGGCACCATTTATACCACACCCCAGAAAGAGGGAAACAAGGTAAATGCATGACGATACTCCCAAAACTTGCAAAGAAAAAATGGGCGGTTAGACAAAAAGGAACAAAGTAACTTGGACAAATCTTTTTTGTCAATAACCCTAAACCGATCAATCGGATATTGATCGACACGTTCGTTCAATATGTATGACCAGGATAATAGAGCTCGAGTTAATACTTAACTGTAGGACTATCTGCCCACTCCATTCTCAACAGTAAATACAAATCAAAGGCAGAAATTCCCTCTCAGGATCAAAACCAAAATTTCAAAAATTACATTCATTAAATATTTTGCAGTCCCAAAAAATAAAGAAAAAACAAACACATTAATTGATAACAACAACATGCCCTGGAAGATGGATTATAATTATAACCCTGCAACTAAACTATAAACTACTCGGTTACAAAGATTAGTTAAACAGTTAACTATAACCCTAAGACGATTCAAATTCACATAAAAGTAAAACTCAAAAAGAAATTAATATATACCAAGTCGTCCATGTGGGGAAAGAGCGGGCGAAGTTGGTCGATGAGTGAGGGGGCAGGAAAGCGAATCGGCGAAGAGGAACAACGTAGCCTCTTGGAGAGTGGCGGAGAAGGTGGAAGCTCTTCGAAGAAAGACCTCTTGCTTCCGCACACAGCAGCAGACATCGTTCTTCAACGCTAACACTGCCAATTTCAATCAATCCGTCCTCGATCGCCTCCAATTCAATCCCAACGAAACGGGGTTAGGGTTTCGGAACAACGAGAGTTCTTGAAATCAAAGGGTTTTCGTGAGGGTTAGGTTCTGCGCTGTTCCTGGGAGAGGAAAAGTGTGGAAACTTGAGGATTATTTATAGTGCTATGCCACAAAGGAGACGGAACTGTGTCCCACGTGCTTTCCAGCGCGTCGGGTACCAGCATTTCCTATGTCGGAAATTCTCCCGATAAAACCAAAACCCCCAGAATTGTGTGTATATATTGTTACACCTTGAAAAATAGCTCGGATGAGATGATTAGACCTAAATAATAGATTGGATTAAACTAATAAAATAGTGATAAAGTTTAAAATATATTTTTTTCAATTTCAAAATTATTTTTTATAAAATTAGTCCAATATAAATTCAAACCAAATTATTATTATTATTATTATTTATTTTAAATATAAACTGATTTTTTTCTCATTCGTGGTCGTCGAACTTTTCCAACCGTCCATTTTATCAAAGGAGCGTCACTCGTTAATTTTAAATTTTACGCAATCTAGATATCAATTCGTTTTATGTGATTACATGAGTACAATTTTACCTCACTTGCTTCGATTTCCTTTTCTGGAAAAAAATGAACGTTGTAACTTCTTCAAATAGATTTTGCTACTCTTTCAGTATCCTGCAAAAGTATATAAATAAAAAAATACATTTCATATCTTGAAAAGGTAAAATATTAAATATTTTTATTTAAATTAAATCAATTTCTAGATTTTTATAGTTTTATAAATAATTTAATTAAGTTCAATACTTCAGAAGTCCTAATTAAACTCCTATATGTATCGTCATATTGATCCAAAAGACAATCCTCACACTTAAAGTGGATTAAAAAATAAGAGTATTTGTATGAGTTACATTCAAATTCAGTGTGATTCAAATAACTCAATCCTTTAGATGGTTTGAATGTTTAAATTGAATTCAATCTTATTCGTTCAAATGAGTTAGCTCGTGATTATAATTTTGAAACTCCTAAATCCAACCTTTTAATTAAAATTATTGATATTGTTTATATATTTTTGGAAATTAAAGAATGCTTCATTATGGATAATAATATATAACATTTTTGTTATTTTAAAGGTAAATAATGTATTAATATATAATTAAAAATTGTTAGCCTCCGATAAGGAATATAATACAATTCTAAAAAAATATAATAATAATAAATAATATCTATATATATATATATAAATAATCATCAATCGGAAATCCTACCATGAAAAAAAAAAAAAAAAAAATTCACTCACATACATTACAATATCATCGTCCCATAACCAGGACAATTTTTGGAACAAAATAAAAGTTGTGTTTATGTCATTGATAAAAAAGTTACATGATTGAAACTTAGTCTTTGCCCACTTCCAATAGCTTAGCTTAATCTTCTCAAAGACTTTCTCCATCTAAGAGCTTTTCTTTAAAAATCACCTTAATTTGGTATAATTACAACCCGCAAATCATAGCAAATCAAACCACCATATCCACCCTCTAAATCCTTCTGTCATTAATTTAATAACCTCCAAATGTTGCTAGAAATGGGAGACATATCCAAAATAAAGTTGAATTCGTAACAAGTTATTACAAATTTATCAAAAATCATAAAAAAGCAATATTAGAGGAAATGTTTAACAATTTCTCATATAGCATAGTTCACGAAAACATAAAAGCAATATTGCATAGAAACAAGGGTGAAACACAATGGTGATATCAGATTGGTAAACCACAGGGGAACAAAAACACTACACAAACGGATAAACCCCAAACACTCGTACAATCACACTCATGCAGCAAACATACCCAAGCTAATAAAAAAAACGGCCTTCCAATATTGACTTGCAAATTTTGCAACAATACCAAAAAAAAAAGCATAAAAGCCTTCACAAACTATATGTAACCCCTTAAGCTCATAGTTCAGCATTCTCTTTCAACGGACGTTCTAGTTCTTTTTCTTCAGAGATATAGTCTAACCTGTCTTCAACCACTGATGTTCCATTATTGATTTCTTCAGTTAGAGGGCTTCTGAACATTTCACTGTTCTCTATATGAGAAAATTTATCCTTAGACTCTCCCTTGAGTAGCTCTACCACATCAAGCATGGTTGGTCTCTTCTCAGGTAGATCCTGAACACACATAAGTGCAACTAAAACAACTCTTTTAAGCTCTCCCTCCACATAAATACCATTTAGTCTTGGATCAGCAATTTCACTAAATTTCTTCTCACAAACCAATGGCAATGCCCAATCAACTATGGATTGTGTCACTGTGGAACTAAGTTTTTCAGTCGGTCTTCTGCCACTGGCGAGTTCTAGAAGGAGAACACCGAAACTGTAGACATCACAACTCTCATTTGGTTTACCCATCATAGCATATTCTGGTGCAAGGTAGCCAAGGGTACCCTTACCTTTTGTAGGCACATGTGTTGTCCCATCAGGGATCAACATAGCAAACCCGAAATCAGCAACTCTGGCCTGGAAATCAGAATCCAGCAACACATTGCTTGCTTTAATGTCCCTGTGGATGATATGTGGTGTTGCTTGGTGGTGAAGGTATCTGAAAGTAATAAGATACGTGGATAACGTAACGATAGTGGAAGAAGTTCATAAGAAAAGTCAGGTTAGTACTCACACAATTCCTTCAGCAGAACCAATTGCGATATTCATGCGCCGATTCCAATCGAGGGGGCATTCGAATGAGTGATGTCCATGAAGATGAGAGTGGAGGCTCAGATTTTGCATATATTCATAAACAATCAACCGTTCCTGTCCTTCAGCACAATATCCACGAAGACTTAGAAGATTCTTGTGTCGTATTCTTGCCAAGATTTCAAGTTCAACTGTAAATTCCGTCTCAGCTCTGTTGCTCCACACTTTCAATCTTTTCACAGCAATCTGAAATGACACGATTTTTTAAACAATAGTGGTTATACATCAATGCTATTTGTTTGTCATCAACATATTACAGTAGATTCAATACTCTAACGCTAGATAAGAGGTTTTGAATAGAGGTTTTTGCAGCATTAGCCCCTGAAACTTCAAATCATATTCTACGTCACCAGATGAAACCAAATCCTACAAGTCTTACTAAAAATCCATTAAGGAACGTAAAACAAATTCGCTCTTTTCTATAATTAACAATCATGTTCCATTTTAGTTCAATGCTATTGCTAGGAACAAGAAGGAATAATTGAATATTTGTATTGAGCTCTTTCACAAATCCATGGAAGAGTAATCAATACAAATTGTCAAGTAAGACTGAGAAAGATATAGGAAATTTCTCAGATGTTTCAAACTATCAAAGCAGACCCCACAGAGCCGTTAAGAATGTGAAATTGCCAACATAATTAATGATGTGAAATAGCTAACGAACTCAACTTTTTCCATAATGAATAAACAAACCGCAAACTCATTCTGTGTGAATTACTAGTGCTCTGTGTAGTAACGACCAAATTACTTATAATGACTGCTTCTTGGATACAGATTATTCAGTACTAACATTACAATATGAAAAAGTGCAAAATAAGAGATATTACTTCATGAAAGTAGATAAAATGAAATGATGGTGTGATGGCATAATACTTTAATAGCTTGAATGTCAAGTTGATTTCAATCTGCAAGTCTAGGCAAGGATGGAAACAGGGAAGAAAATAACAAGTGGAAATAATCTTGTGGCAGGACTAGATCTGTCTAGGTATGTCATTATTGAATAGGACATGTATTTGAGAAAACTCCTTTATATGGTTCATCATCTCTGAAATACGCAGTTTAGGTAAAAATAAAAGGCATGCAAATATATTATTAAAGTAAATGTAACACTGGATGTTGGGAATATGAGGGAGACAAACACTGAGTAGATCTACGCATGAATCACAAGTTAACCATTAAAATGAATATGTACGTTGCTCAATGTGCCATTTCTAGACAAGATGAAACTTCATATTCACGCTTACATTGTAACACTAGATCTTCATCCCATTAGTGAATAAAATGAGCAAGAATAACCATAGAAGGCACAGCATGCAGCAGATTTGATGAGATGTGCAATATCAATAACAATAACAACAATAGGTAAATAAAAAATAATTAAAGCATAGTCATACTTGCGATCCATCCCAAAGTTGGCCCCAGTACACACTGCCAAAGCTTCCTTCTCCAAGCTTGTTGTCATAGTTAAAATTATTCGTAGCAGAGTGTAATTCCTTCAAAGAAAACACTCGCCATGTGGGTTGTTCTTTCCCTCGCCTTGCGCTGCATGAATAAGACTCTAATATCACCCATCTATTGAGAAAAAAATAAAATATAAAGGCATAATTGAGACCAAAGTTTTAAAATAAAAATGCACTGTAAGAACTGTGCAAGTATAGAAGCAATGAAACATAGTTACATACACCTTGGTATCCTCAAATGGTTAACTAACAAACTTGACTAACCCTCAATTGATCCTTCTGCAGAGTCAAGACCACACAATTACAAATATCTAACACTCATTATTTTCTTTGAAATTAAACACACAAACTGAAAGCATAATTTACAAACAAACATCCAATTTGACCCAAAAAAAGCATAGAGCAAGAAAAACAGTTCACAAGATTCATGAATTATTGTCATACCGGTTGGAAACTTTTCCGCAACAAAACCAAAAAGCCATAACCTTTCCACCAATGAGCCCCACCCACCTTCTCCCCTCTCTCTACTTTGAGAAACAAACCCAGAAAACGTGAACAAAATCAAAACTTAAAACCGACCCGCAACCCAAAGAGGTGTTGATGTTGATGTTGATGTTGCTGTTCCTTTAACCTCGGACTTGTTTTCCTAAGGATGGATATTCAGTTCTCAGCGTGAAGGCAGATAAATGAACATGTGTGGCATGGAAACAAAGACAATAAAAGAGGATGACGATGATGATGCAATGCAAAAGTGATGCTTAAGGGAAACCCAAAAGAAAGTGGTAACAGAAAAAGAAGAGAGATTCTGTTAAATGGAAGTTAAGGCTCGTTACTCCTCTGAGTCCCTGTGACACTGAACTCCAGCTATTGGCATATTTATTATTTTTAAATTTTTAAAAAAACTAAATAAATGTGGGGCACATTTTCTTTTAAAATTTAATTTATTTTGGGGGGAATTTAATTTACAAATGAATGTCCATCTATGAACTGTCGCTGTTCTAGAGTGTCACGATTCTTACTATATAGAAAACCGAAATAAGGGAGGATCAAGAGCAAAAAGAAGAAAAAGAATTAGAAATAGAAAAAAAAAGTTTTATTTTTAAATAGATGAAATTAGTTATATAGGGGAAAATAGATAAAACTATTGTATACATATATAGAAATTTTTCTTCTAATAAGCAAAATAAAAATAAAAATGGTACAAAAAGATTGTATAATAATTAAAATTTAAGTTTAATATAAATGCATTAACTTTTATTATATGATATTCTTTTTTTTTTTTTACTATGAAAACTATTTATTTTAAAAAAACACTAAACTAAAAGTGAAAACTAATTTCCACTCACTTATTTTTACGCTGATTTTTTTTTCTGTACATAGATAGTAAAAATAAAATATTTTGTTATTTATATAATAAATTATGTATGTACTCATATTGAAAAAACAAATTACATTAGTATTTAATCACAAACTAATATATACGATAAATTTATCTAATTTTGTGTTTATTACTTTACAAATTATACTAAAAATAATTTTTTAATAATTAATAATATAGAAAATTATTCACTTTTATATAATATAAATTTGTATTTAATATACTTTAATAACAAATATGATGTTGTTGTCATGTTTGTCTTTCCTCTACTTTCATTTCTTTAATGTTTTTTTTTTTAAATATTAATCGATTCTTGGTATTAGTTATCTAATATAGTTTGTGTTTTGAAAAATAATATTATATTTTTTTAAATAATATTTTTTGAAATATTTTTAACAAATTTTCTCACAAATTTATTTTTCATCGAGGGAGAGAATTTAACTTTTTTATGCTTTTTTTTTACTAAAATAAAAATATCACGCTGATGCTTGGTTGTTAGTAGGAAATCGATAAAGGGATCGAGAAACAAATGGGAGCAAATCGAGAACCCTTTTTTATTGAGTTAAAGATCGATAAATCGAAAGATAAGCTGGAAAATGCGTTCGACGACCATGTGACAATATAAGCGAGAATTTGAATCGAGAATCGAAGGATGAATGTTTAATATCAGTTAGTGAATGAAATCGAGAAATCAGAATTATGTAATGTTAAGATTAAGAGAAATCAAAGGCAAGTCAAACGTTCTCGAGATTCCGAAATCAACATCGGAGAAAGGTTAACCCATGTATCGAAATCCTGGCTAAGTTATAAAGAAAGAAACAATTGACGTGTACATCAAACATGGTAAGCGATGGCAAAGGTCCAAGGTCAAAGAAGCAGTTACCTCATGTATGGGAACGTGAAGGCAGTTTTTAAACCATGGCAGAGGTCGAAGATCATGGGAACGTGGGTGCAGTTTTGACACCGAAGAAGAAACTGCAACATACACGTAGGACGTGGTAGCAGTTTTCATTAACTGCTCCTAAGAAGTTACTTGCTTAAAGGATGCTCTATAAATAGGGCGAAGGATGAAAGGAAAAAAGGGGGCGTGGAAAATTGGCAGAGAGAACCGGAATATTAGTGAGAAGTCTACCGGAGAACGACGAACATCATGAAGTTCTTGGCGATCTGGATTTCCATGTTCATTGATTTCCTTTACCGTTTTCTTTATTTTTCCTGGTAATTTACTTTGATGCATTTTATGTTTAGCAACTTTAAGTTTTTGTGTTTTCGATTCTCGATCAATTTCAGTTTAATGGGAGTTAAGTTTTCTGCATTTAAATTTCCTGTCCTTTAACTTCGATGCAAATTCGATTTCCAGTTATTTACTTTTCTGCGTATTTCGATTTCTTATCATTTACATTTCTGTACTTTCGATTTCATGTCATTTACACTTAATGCAATTTCGAGGTTTCCGTACTTTACATTCTTTGAAATTTAATATTTCTTCACAGCTTTATATTCTATCCTGCTTTTCGATTTGTCATTTCACCGTTTTCCTTACTTCGAGTATTTCAAAAAAAAAACAAAATACCAAAAATAGTGTTTTCGATAAGTCATGACATGTTAGTGGGATTTTCTCGATATTGTGATATTTTCGATTCTCATATGCATCTCGATTGAAAAAAAAACATTTGCTAGCCTAAGTAAAAAGAACTTGCGTGGTTGAGTTTTGGTTAGAACAAAATATCTTAAGAATCGGAATCGATCAAAATTCCATCAGAAACAAATTGGCGCGCCAGGTAGGGGTTGCCTTGTGTTAAAAACACAAAATTGGTTAGTTCGAGAGTGTATGAGATTAAGGAGTGGGCGAGTTATAAGAATGAGTCAAAATTCAGCAAATAATCAGAGCAACAATGAGAGTCTAAATGGTGTACATTCACCAAATACTGGGGGGCAAAGTCATGATGGGAATATGCCTGTAACATCGACAACTGCGAGTATGTCGTTACCTGTGGGTAATGAACAAAATTCAGGCACCTTAACAAACACCCAAGTAGGATCTAGTGCGGTGGTACCAAATAATATGCAAATTGTGGGAAACCCCACAACAACATATGTAGGGCCATATATGAGTGTAAGACCACCTGTGTTTTCGCTTAATAATATGAATGGGGCTGGAACTTCTTCAACACAGCGGAATTCGAGATATAACTTAGGAATGCCTCAAACACTAGGTATGCCGCAAAATTTTGGAGTCCCTCCGAATTTAGGGACATCTCAAAACTTAACAATTCCCCAGAATTCAGGAAGTGGACAGAATTTAGGTACACAACAGACACCTCCAAATCTAGATCACAGAGCAAATCTGGATCATGGGAGAAATGCATTCGATAGAGATTATCATCGGTCTAATTTTGAGACTTTTGAAAACACTAATACTGGGATCTCCAACAACTCACTAGGGGTACTTAGACAACAAATGGATGAGAGCAATTTTGAGATGGTGAATATGTTATCACAACAGTTGACTACAGTCCTAAATCCATTAGTTCAAAACACTACTGCTAGTTTTGAGATATTAGCAGACCAAATGTCACGAATCGGGGATGCATTGGTTGTACCTCGACGAACAAGGATAGAAAATCATGCTAACCAGAATGCTAATATCAATCCCCCGTATCTATTGAGGAGAAATCGAAACAATGATCAACATCAGCATACGGGGAATGAATACCAACAGGTGAGGAATGATATTTGTGGGAATCTGAATGAGGGATTTCAAAATATGTACAATCAGAATAACATGCAGTATAACCACATGTTAGGACAGAGGATGAATTTCCAAGGGATGGAATTTAGACCACCCAATCAAACATACTGTGTCTCCCTTCCCAAATGCGATTCTCGAGACGGAATTACCTCGAGGATACAAAGTACCTAAATTCACCAAATTTGCTGGAGAAATTGGTGAATCAACTATCGAGCATGTAGTTCGATATCAGATCGAATGTGGGGACCTAGCGATTAGTGAGGAATTAAAGATGAAATATTTTCTTAGTTCTTTGACTAAGAATGCTTTTACTTGGTTTACTTCGTTGCCACCCAATTCGATATATAATTGGCTGCAACTGGAAAGAAATTTTCATGAGCAATTCTTTAGAGGAGAAACTCAAGTAAGTCTCATCGATTTGATGAATATAAAAAGATACAATCATGAAAGCATAGATGATTATTTGAATAGATTTAGACAAATGAAGTCGAGATGTTTTACTCAAATTCCTGAATATGAATTAGTCAGAATGACCTCTGCAGGCTTAGAATTCTCGATTAGGAAAAAGTTAGTTAATTTACCGTTGAATGACATGGCTCAATTAACTGATAAAGTGAGAAGAGTAGAACAATTTGAATATGAAAAACAAAGGTATAAGAAATTTGAGAGACCCATGAAAAAAGAAAAAGTAGCATATATAAATGATGTGTATGAGGCAGATCCCGAGACAGAAATTGAGATTGAGGAAGCTGTCGATGAGAAAGTAAATATAGCAGAACTCAAAGTAGGAGTTCCATACATTTGTAAATCACTACAGAAAAATGAAGTAAAAGACAAGATGACAAATCGAACGTATACTTTCGATGTAACAAAAGCCGATAAAATTTTCGATATTTTATTGAAAGACAAACAAATTAAGTTGAGTGATGACCATAAACTGCCCTCTGCAGAGCAAAGGAATGGTCGAAAATATTGTAAATTTCATAATATTTATGGACATTGGACTAACAATTGCATACATTTCAAGAATACGATCCAAGATGCGATTGACCAAGGAAGATTGAAATTTGAAGAGATGTCAATGAAAGTGGACACGAGTCCATTCAAAGTTCAAGTGGGGTATATTGAATCCCAAACGGGCATGACTGAAGATGTCCGAGTGACGAATTCTACTTTTGTAGGCATGGTCGATGTTACTGAAGACATTGATCCCAAGCATGTCAGAATGGATGTATCTGAAGAAGATATGGAATTCAATCTGAGTGAATTCGAAAAAGAATTCGAGAGGGAGATTTATCCTCGATCAGGAGATTCTCTCATCGAGTTTTTAAATAGAAAGAAAGGAAAAGATGAAGATGTGTCGTTATGTTCGCGATGCAGCGCAGTATTCGACAAGTCAGCTGCTAAGGCTTTCAGAGTGGAGCAGATAAAGAAAATCGAAAGTCAGAATAAAGGGAAAAATGACAAAGTGGATCAAACAAGCCAACCAACGATCGAAGAAAGTCAACAGAAATCCGTTGGTTCTGGTGTTAGTGGGAACCAAAGACAGTGGGTTAAAAGAGAGATGTACCCTTCTCGGAGAGGAGAAAGCAGACTTCAGAGTAATGATGTCTTCGAGAGGCTTTCATACGACGGGGGATCGAATGCTGGATTCCCAACATTCCAAAGGCGATTCCGTGGAAGGCCCTGGAGAAGAGGAGGAAGGATCCCTTACTCGGAATAATTACGAAACTTTGAAGAGAATAATGTATCAATGGGGGGCCAATATGCAAGAGATTTTTCGACGATAAAAATGAGGGTAGTTGGGATGAACATCAAATCGGAGTAATATCGATATTACCCGCAGAGTA